CGATGGCATTCTTACCACCAAATCGCCTGGAAGAAGCCCTCCGTGACCTCAGGGACGAGCTACCGGAAGAGCTGCAGCCGGTTCTCGACTATTTTGAGGACACATACATGGGGAGGCTGCAGATAAGGACCGATGGAACCATGGGACGCCGGGAAGCCATTTTTCCAGTCCACATGTGGAGTGTCCATGAACGTACGCTCAATGATGACTCTCGAACGAACAATTTTGTGGAAGCTTTTCACCGGAGTCTCCAGCGTCAGTTCGCAGCGGACCACCCTGGGCTGTTGAAGTTCATTGATGGTTTGAGGAAAGCGCAGGTGCACAAGGACGCCCAGCTAGAACATTACGTCGCCGGATGCGCGGCTGCGGAAAAACGGAACCGGTATCTCCAGAACGATCTGCGCATCCTGAGGATAATGAATCGACGTGATTCTTACGCGCTCATTGAATTCCTCCGCGGAATCGCTCATACCTACGAGATGAATCCATAGTGACCGCGACAAAATCGTTCCCTTGTGAAAACTTGATTTCATTGTAATTTTAATTTGTGTGATGTGATCTTATGGAATTGATCGTGAGATAGTGCTCACATGTTAAGTAAATGGGAAAAGATGGATAGCGGACCGAAAGATGGGAATACATATAGTCTGATGAAATCGATCGAGGTTTACGTGACTCGAATGGATTGATTGTTGCTACTTAATACCCGCAGATGTGCAGTGCTGAAAATTTTATCGATTGTGATAGTCGCAAGCTGACGCGGAGGGAATAAAAGCCTCTCGAACGAGTTCGAAGTTGATATGAGTTCGAAGGCTTCGACGGTTGCGTCTCGCATCATTCTATTAATCCGTATCCAGGGATAGCTGAGTCAGTGATCGTTTTCCTCTGCCTCATTGAATCGCAACGAGAAATCCCCCCTCCTTCTCGCTCAAAGACAGTTCCATCATAGGTGCACCCCCAGATGGCCGGGTTGACGCCGTGGCCGGGTTGACGCCGTGGCCGGGTTAACGCCGCGGCCGGGTTGACGCCGCGGCCGGGTTGACGCCGCGGCCGAGTTGACGCCGTGGCCGGGTTGACGGCGTGGCCGGGTTGACTTGCACCGGGATTCAAGCGTTCTTCTTCGTATCGATCAGCAGAAAGTTGTGTGTGGCCGAGACGAGTGAGTTGAGTAATCTGCCGCATCAGGATAACGATCTCATTCCAGATGGCTTCATCTGACTTCTACACAGAGGATGGTATTCGCAGTCGGGGAAGAGCCCGGCGTCATGAGCTCGACGATCTATTTGAGGAAACCCCGGTAGAAGAAAGAAGCCTCGACGTGGATTTCGGGAGCCCCGACGTGGATTTCAGGAGCCTCTTGAGAATCCCTGGTGTGAATATGAGCAGGCCGGATCTCATGGAAATTCTGCTGCGCGGTATCGGCAAGCCTCGCCCCAGGCGTCCCCCTCCTGAGGATTCCGGGTCTAGCGAACTCTGGTCGGAATCAGCGGGACCACCGGTTACGTCTACTCCTGGGGGTGCTCAGGGGAGTCCCGCGGAGCTGACCAGAGCTGAAAGGCTCCGAGACCGACGGGAAAGGAATCGCATCGCCGCAGCGAAGTGTCGCCGGAGAAAAAGGGAAATGATCGCTTCCCTCCGACGCGAAAAGACGCGTCTGGAACAAGAGAACCGTTCATGTCAAATCGAGAGCGAGGAGATGCGAGAAGAGCTATCCACTCTCCTTGAAAGAATCCGTCCGGCAGCACCTCAGTGCCTTTCGGAAGATCCCACGTCCTCTCAGAATTTCGAATCCTTAATGCTCCACTCCGTGGGAAAATTCAGCGATCCTTACTCATTCGCGTCGTACTTGTTCTAGAATAAACGATCCACAGAATGTCCAGATAACACTTCCTCGTGGGTCACCGATCCGCTCTGAAAACAAACATAGTGCTTCGGTTTCAGCTCCGCTAGCTCGAAGCGTTTGATGTGACCGCAACAGTTCTCTCTCAAACCCGAAAAGCTGTGCTTCCTATTTTCGGAGCTTGGTGTGCCTCCCCCCTGAACTTCTACAAGGTCTCGGCTATCGTTCATCAGTGGAGCTAGAACTCTCTGTCACTAAAAAGTCGCGGTACAGGCAGGCAAACAGGAACCGAAACACGCGAAATCGGCACCCAAAAGAGGCAAAATCGATCCTAAATGTCGAGAAAAATACCTAGATAGACCTTCCAAATCTCTGAGCGAATCATTGCCCGAGTATCAAGGATACATTAAATCGATATTCCGAGGTCAAGATGCATGATAGACTGACGCTCTTCAGGTCGAATTTCTTTCTCTCGAGCGTACCCATCGTCGCTTGCTCAAGAAACCCAGCAACACGAGGATGCCTGGTGTTCGAGTGAGCATCGACCAAAATGAGGCACGAAATCCGCCCCCATCGCGATATGTCCCATTTTTCGAATCAGAATAAGCTTCCGACATTTCACTCAACCTTTATTCATGTCACATAGGAGGCCTCCTAGAGGTATGGATGAAACGCGTTCGGGAAGTGTCTCAGAAGTCGTTATTCGATACCAAAGAAGGATGGCACTTTATACCGTAAATTCGCGTACATTGCCTAAAACACGACGACACAGCAGAACACACAATTTTCCACTGCACTAAATTCACAGCGAATAGAGACCACATAAATCTCCTCACTAGAGCTCAACTAACACCGCATAACATAATAATTTATTATTTAGGTTCTCCAGCATGTGGTTTATTATTAATAAACCACATGCTGGAGAACCAGGAAAACTGGGATAACATAGATAAATTTATAACTGAAATACTCAAAGTCAAGATAGAACACGAAAACAGCCTCATAAACCCTACGAACAACACACCGCACTGAGACTTCGGTCTCCCGCCTCCCCGCTGACGGAAACTAGTAATACCGGCGACGGATGCGGATACACACACATGAGAGGTTTTAGTGGGTAGTGTCTGCGAGGACGAGCCCCACAGTACTCAACCGTGAGTCTGCGTAAACGCATTTTCCCTCTCCGAAAAAAAATACCGTCTTAAGCGGTCAAATGGAGGATGCTACTGTCTTGATTGTGGAAGATCGGTACCCTATGTATTCCGATTGTAGTACTGCAATCGAACTGGAAGCTTGAGAGCAAACAAAGCAACAGTCGACCCCAGAATCCTAGACCGGATTGACGCGAATAGAATGCGAAAATACTGCCCGATGTTCCAAGCTCAAATGATTCATTTGCTCGCTCGGACATCCTCATTTTTTCGACATACGCCATGATCTCTACGGAGTCCTGGAGCACCCGATCAGCTGTCCAGCTCTCTCACTCACACTCTCCCACCACTCACCCGAAAAACGCTCAACAGATATCCATCTTCGGAGTCACTCAGAACATGAGCCTGCTTTCGTCGAGCCAGT